AATCCACAAAAAAGGCTGAGGAATTCTGGGAGCTGAAGTCCACACGTCTTAAGGCTGAGGAATTCCAGGAGTTGAAATCCACAAATCTTAAGGCTGAGGAATTCTGGGAGCTGAAGTCCACAAGTCTTAAGGCTGAGGAATTCTGGGAGTTGAAGTCCACAACAGACTTCCCCCTCCTCCAAAGATGGGTCTTATCTCCTTTGGGCATACAGGACAGGGAGCCTCCAATTTTGCAGAGGACTTGTGAGAAGGAAAGAGTCCTGGCTTAAATGGTCACCAGTATCACAGTCTTAGTGGAACTGGGCAGCCAGACTGGCACTCTGTCCGGGGTCAGGCAATAACTGAGAAAACTTCTAAGCAGCCTCGAAGGGCAGATCCCTTACTCTCCAGCTGGGATCATTCTCCAGGCTTTCTTTGTCAGCAGCTAGGGATCGTCCGACTGACCCACACCAAAGGGGGGAACAGAGCCACCATCTACCCTAGGGTGCCTCCTTGGTGTCCAGCTTGTAGTGATGCTCAGGGAGGTTCCTCAAGCGTTCAGCGGCCTGTGAGGAGAGAGCAGCATGGAGGGAGGAGAAGAAGAAAAGAGTGAAAGCAAGGGCCTTTCCAGGCGGGCTGGCTGAGGAATTCTGGGAGTTGAAGTCCACAAGTCTTAAACGTTTGGTGACCCCCTGGTCTATTACATCCCTTTCCCTTAAAGCTCTGCATTTGCTTAGCAACTTTTAATATCCCCAAAGCAGCGTTTGGCCTCCAACTCTGAAGACTGGTAGCCACAGCCCAAAGGCCACACAAAGCCCCCGAGAACTGGAGGGTCCCCCCTGCCTCTTCCAACCCTCAGCCTTTCCCCGCCCATTCCCAAGGACGGGTTCGGCCATAAATGCCGAAATGTTAAACTTGAAAGGTCCTTGGTGGTCTCTTAGCTTGGTTGTTTTCTTGCAGATGTTTCATCTCCCAACTGGCACTGATGATCTTACCTAGTTGGGTCATGAAACGTCTGCAGCAAACCAACCAAGCTCAGAGACCACCAAGGACCTCACAGTTACAAATATTCTGCATTCTTTTAAACTTCTTTCGAAGCCGGGTGGGCTACAGCCCCTGGCAGGAGTTACAGCCCGTCTCCTAGCTCCCCCTCACCTGCTCCGGCGTCAAGTCCCTCTGGGCCTGAGCCAGCATCTCGTAGCCCACCATGAATTTACGAATGGTGGCGGAACGCAGGAGAGGAGGATAGTAATGGGCGTGGAGCTGCCAGTGTCTGCAGTCGGCCTTTAGGTACGGCCCCGTGGGAGCTCCTACGAGGAAGAGGCAGCAAAGAGAGCACAAGATCAGATCTTAGCAAAATGGGAGGCAGGTTTGGATTTGCTCCCTGTGGCACAGAAAGGAAGGGGGCAGCCAGGATCAAAAGAGAATCCATACACCCAGCATCCATGCACTGCCTTCAAAGCAGAGGTGGGTGTCAACGCTGCTAACATCGGATGTTCTCGCTTTGACAACATATGGAGATGCAGCCATTTTCCTTCTTATGTTTTACTCTTAGAATTAGAGTTGGAATTAGATGATACTGGGGGGGGGGAAGGAGGAGGAATGTGCATGGGAGTTTAGTTAGACATAACAATACTGTAACTAGGGTGAGAACCAAGGTTTTTTTGAAATAAGAGATGATAAGAAATGGTGGGGTTGGAGAACTGGAGGGAAAGCCTGCATTTCAAACTAATTGGGGAATGTGATTTATGACAGTTAATTAGAGGAGGGAATTGTGCTTTGATACTATGTGCTCAGGGAAGGGGGATTCAGATTTTGGCTTTGCTATGAACCTGCCGATGCTATGCTACTTGAATAAAGTTTCTTTAAGGTAAACAATGCCTCGAAGTTCCTTGAAGAGTTTCATCTATCGGAACCATGACATTAAGCCAGCTATGGCCCCTTTACGACCTGTGGATAGGATAGGATAGGATAGGATAGGATAGGATAGGATAGGATAGGATAGGACAAGACAGGACAGGACAGGACAGGACAGGATAGGACAGGATAGGACAGAATAGAACAGAGCAGAGCAGAGCAGAGCAGAGCAGAACAGAATAGAATAGAATAGAACAGAATAGAATAAACATAGGATAGAACAGAATAGAGCCTATGGAGATGCAAGAATTCCCACACCTAGAGAGCCAGATGTATCTCTGTAGAGCAGAGTTTCTCCACCTTGTGCACTTTTAAGACGTGTGGACTTCAGCCCCCAGAATTCCCCAGCTCCTGTTGAGCACTCTGGGACAGTGTTTCTCAACCACAGTTACTCGAAGATGTGTGGACTTCAATTCCCAGAATTCTCCAGACAGCATAGCTGGCTGAGGAATTCTGGGAGTTGAAGTCTACAAGTCTTAAAAGTTGCCAAGGTTGGAGACTCCAGCTCTAAGCAAATGAGCTATAATAGACCAGCATAGCTGGCTCAGGGACTCTGGGACTTGAAATCCACAGGGCGTAAAGGGCCTCAGGAATTCTGGGAGTTGAAGTCCACAGGTTGTAAAGGGACCATAGTTGCCCAACCCTGCTCTAAGGTGAGATGACCAAGCCGTCCATTCTCCCTCTCAAAATCAGAGGGACTTCCCACTCCTTGGGTTCTCCAAGTGGAAGGCTGGTAGGTGAGATGGATAGCTGGTCTCCTCTGGACTTTGGGGAAGGGCCACTTTGAGGAGCATACCAAAGGTGGCACAAGCACCACCACGGTTACGCGAGCTGCCCCAGCTGCCAATGTGCTTCTGGGTTCGATTCAAGGGGTTGGTTATTGCCTTTAAAGCCCTCTGCGGTACAGGTCCAAGGTATCTGAGGAACCATCTCATCCCAATGGGACTGGCCTGCACCACTCGGGCTGGCAGAAGAGGCCTGCCAGAAGGGCCAGCCAAGGAATTTCAGCTGATGGATCCCACCCTTTGGAACACCTTGCCACCAGAGATGAAATCTGTCCCCTCTTCAGACCTTCCGGAAAAGCCTTAAAACCTGGCTCTGCCAGTTGGCATGGGGACCTGAAGAAGCTAGAAGTGGCTGCCCCACTCAAAATCCATGGTCTTTGATTGGTTGACTGACTGACTGACTGACTGACTGACTGACTGACTGACTGACTGACTGACTGACTGACTGACGACTGACTGACTGACTGACTGAATTTGCCATCCATCTCGTAGCAAACAACTCTGGGTGGAGCAAACCACACTGGGTGATCTTTTAGTCTGTTCGTCATCTTTTGTCATTTTAATCTGGTTTTATATTATAATTTTTAATCAGCATGTTTTATTACACCCAGAGTCGCCTCAAACTTTGAGAAAGAAAGAAAGAAAGAAAGAAGGAAGGAAGGAAGGAAGGAAGGAAGGAAGGAAGGAAGGAAGGAAGGAAGGAGGGAAGAGGGAGGGAGGGAAAGAGGAAGAAAGATAGAAAAAGGAAGGAAGGAAGAAAGGGGTGAAGGAGGAAGGAAGGAAGGGGTGAAAGAGGAAGGAAGCAAGAGAAAGAAAAAAAGAAAGAAAGAAAGAAGGAAGGAAGGAAGGAAGGAAGGAAGGAAGGAAGGAAGGAAGGAAGGAAGGAAGGAAGGAAGGCAGGCTCCAATTCCTCTCCCCAATGCTCACCATGCCAGCCCATTGAGTAAGGGAAGGAAACCTGGAACAGATTGTCGTATCGGCTGAGAAGCCTCTTCATCACGGATGCCAGGCCTGCAATGAAGGACACTCAAAGCAGTCAGCTGGTCTCCTACACCTGCCAAGCCACCCCACAACCCCTCCACAGCTGGGCTGGATCCCCCAGCTCAAAGCTTCCCCATCTGCACATCTCTGCAAACCCCACTGGTGTCTCTTGCCATTCCAACCATCTGCCAAGGCTGAGATGGAAAGGAGCGGAACCCTTTGTGCCATGGCCTCTCTTCAACCAGAATAGAGCTGCAAGGGATCTTGGAGATCTTCTAGGCCAGGGGTAGGCAGCCTTGGCTCTTTTAGGACTCGTTGACTTCAACTCCCGGAATTCCTGAGCCAGCCATGCTGAGGGGAAAGGGGAGAGGTTTCCAAGCTGAGCCAGGCTGGCTCAGGAATTTTGAGCCAGCATGAGGCAAATTTTGGCCCCTTCATGACTTGTGGACTTCAATTCCCAGAATTCCTGAGCCAGCCATGCTGAGGGAAAAGGAAAAGGTTTCCAAGCTGAGCCATGCTGGCTCAGGAATTCTGGGAGTTGAAGTCCACGAGTCATAAAAGAGCCAAGGTTGTCTACCCCTCCTCTCTGCCAAACCCCCTTCCTTCTAGCACTGATGGGGTTATCTAGTTGGGTCATGAAACGTCTGCCAGGAAAGAACCCAGCTCAAGAGAGCACCATGGACCCCACAGATCCTTGACCCACGCACCCACCCCAAAACCCTCTTCCCTCCACCGGCCACAACCTGGGCACTTACTGTCTCTCTCGCTCTCCTGGAGGTCCTCAAGTCGGCAGATGTGTCGCCGAGGAAGCAAGAGGGTCTGGAAGGGCCACACTGCCCAGTAGGGCACCACCACCAGCCAGTCTGCGTTTTCCACCACAATCCGTTCCTGCAAGGCACCCCCAGATCAGCCTAAGAGCCAGCAGTCCCAAAAGGAGACTGGTCCCTACTTCCCCCATGGGCCAGAGGTCCCCCACCTTCCGCTCGGCCTCCAGCCGGGCATATTCAAGGAGCATGGGCACATTATTGTCTTGGTAGTACTTCCGTTGGGACTGGTCCTCCAGTGAGGCTTCGTTGGGC